ATCATCATCATCATCATCATCATCATCATCATCATCATCATCATCATATCATATCATAGCACATGAACCACAAGACGATTGACGGTCGATTGCAGTTTTGTAAGGGGTTGGCGGGAAGGGGCGTTGTAGGGTTTTCTGGGGTTGATTCGTTTTCGGAGGTGACTTGATGCTGCTTTGGATGTGGGTGGGCATCATTTTGACCTTGGGCAGAGCGATGCAAGTGGTTTTTGCCCATCGAGGCATTGCGATGGAGTTCGAAGATCTCAAAGCTCTGGGGCTGCTTGCCTCACCTGTTTTCTACATGAAGAAGTCCACGTCAGACATGCTCGCTATAGAAGACATGGCAATGAATCGTGAGTGCAAGATCGGCTTGGAAGGCATTTCCGACAGGAACTTCGTTCAACTTGGAGATGCAAAGGGCATCAGACCAATGAGTGAATCTGCCTTTTTGGCTTTGGCTCGTCACCGCAAAGAGATTCATGTTGGGAGCGGATTGGAGAGCATTTGGGTACTGTGAGTGGGAGTGCCTTTAGAGTTTTTTGAAAAAATCTTTGTGCCAAGTGACAGACTTATGGAGCTGATGTTTGATTTTCCCGCTAGCCATTTGATGACATGTCAGGTCCTGATGCCGCGGGCGAGGTGGAGCGCTCACTCAACGTTGGTGACATTCGTTGGATTGGCTTCGTCACTCGTGAGGGGAAAATCGCACGAGCAGACTTTTGTCAATGCTCTTGGGCCCTGCGCTGGTAGGTGCCTTGGTTGGGCTGACGATGATTAGCTTTACAGTGATTTTCCTCAACATGACATCCAGCCCACATCTAGCAGACTTGTACACCAGCGGCATCACTTGGCCGCCCTTTGGTCCAAAAGCCAGAAAGTACTGGGCTGGGACTCATGTCTCAGAACGAGTCTTTGGGCTCACTGCAGTAGCAGAACCACTTGAGACAACCCGCGTCAGTGTACAAGCTATTGGCAAGCCTATGTTGAATAGCACTTCTGCTGTCATAGTGGAGACTCTCAGCCTCGCTGAGCCCGTGTACCCACAGGAAGTCGCCATCACAGTAGAGGACACTGCTGCCACAGCCTCTTACATGCTTCAGGTTTTCAAGTGGGGCATTTTCCCTGAGTCCATTACCATCTCTGGAGACACCGCCTTCGGCAAGCGGTTCTCCCAGTGCATTCCTTGGGGATACCTCTATTGGAACCATACCGTCCACCTGCCCAAAGGGCTCTTGATACTTGAAATACGAGTTACTTACAGCCACTTTGAAATGTCTTTCCCTTGGAAGAAGCGATCCAACAATTCATTTGCCACTTACTTCGATCCAGCGCTTCCTCGCGAAAAATGCACCATGTGGGCGATTCCTTCTTGAGCGCAGGCGACAGTCGCGCAGGCCTCAGCACATGGTTGCTTCTATGGTCTACAGCCCCGTTGGTCGAGCTGTGGGCAGACTCGCCAGAAGAACACTGAAAGGTTTCTTCAATTCTTCCAGGGCAACGTCTCAGGCAGGTTGTGTGCCTCCACCATCGTTCCAGGTACATCCAACCTGTCTAACCTGGTGTGCAGGACCATGCTCCCATCACCAGCAGCTTTGGCCATCAATGTTTCCGAGATTCTTCCTCAAAAGAGCAAGGATACACAGGCTAAGTTTACGATGCCCTTGCGGATGCCGTCAGGCTCTATTGATTTGGTTGGTGACGGTTCCTTGTATCAGCCCCGATTTGGTTTCACATTTACTTTGCGCAAAAGGACCGTAGCAAAGACCTTCCTCGTTGCCACCGGCTTTGCTGAAAGTGTGGTGGTGCATGGAGAAGGTCTCAGATTGACCATCGCAGACTGCGCCGCCTTGGCCCATGCAACTGTCGTAGAGCTGACTGTCTTGTCTGAAGACCTTGATTGCCATCTCGAAAGTCTGTCGTTGGAGAACGGCACGAAGCTGGATATTATTCCCACCGCTCGGAGGGTTTGTCAAATCGACTCAATGGCAGAGATGTGCGAACATGGCTGGAAACCCAGTTCTAGCTTCGCTCTACCTGTGCCATTCTTCCGAGAGCACCTCCTCCTGCGCACTGCGGATCTCCAGCTGGTTGGACAACCTACTTGCAAATCCTTCACGAACTTTGGCGAGCCATTTGATGATTCCGAGAAAATGGCAGTGTCGCTGCGGTTGAACCAGGAAAGATCATTTTGGGCATTCATTTTGGGGCAAGAACTGCATGTAGAGCCAAGCTCTGAGTCCTGTTGGAGGTCGCCAGAGCTGTGCGTCATTGATTTCCACCAAGCCTGGGCATCCAGTTTGCACAATGAGTCATCAAAGGTATTTGTGACGGTTGCTGCACCGGAGGACTGCAACATCAGCTGGAAGCGGGTGATCCAAGTCTATCAGGGACCAGATTTGTTTCGAGAAGAGAAGGCTCTTCGTGCAGAGCGGGAAGCAACAACAACAGCACATTTGTGTGTAGAGCCTTCCCTAAAGGTGACAAAGGAATGCGGAGGTGCACTCAAGTCCAGCACGATCCAAGCTATGTTCGACATATCGACTCTTTGCCTGAAACACAGCTATGCCGGCTGTGCCTGCTTTTGTTTGTTTTTCTTATAGGCTCTGAAATTGCTCGTGTTGTGTTGGGTCGAGATCAGCTGTGCCATGTTGCTTTTGTTATGTGTCTTTGTCTTTGTCCTGGACTCTGGACTGCGCTGAGGATCAAATCCGATATTCGATCATTGAGGTTTGAGGCCAGCTTTTCCTGCAGCGACAGCTTCTTTCGCCAACAAAGCGTGGTCTTGGAAATGACGCTCGCCAATTGGCTATAGGTCGATGTGCTGCCGCAGGTTGGTCGATGTGGGCAACCTTTTTCACTTTGATTGGACATGCCCCTTGCTGGACGGTCCGGCTCGCAAGTGAGATTTGCGTGCTCGACGACGTTGGATCAACTGAAGTTGGTGCCGCTACGGGCAAAACACCGTGCCTTTGGCATGATGAGTCTTGTGCACATTTGGCACTGCTTCAAGGGGCGTGGTCGTGACTCTTCACTGATCTAATCAAGCATGTTGGGCAGCTTGAGAGCAAGATGAAGTTCACTTCCGAAAAGTGAATATACAAGTTGCATCCTTGAGCCAGGCATCAGCGCTTCGCCCACCTCTGGAAACGTCCCTCGGCTGCGCCATGCTGCGCCATGAAACCAGAGAATGAATGGTTCTCAGTGGGGACGACATCCGAGCGACGGATACTCCTGGAATGTTGGGGGATGGGATGTTGTTCTTCTTTGTGCCATGGTGTTGAAATGGGGGAGACCGAAGCAGAGCTTGAACATTTCAGTTCGAAAGAAATTGTGTTCTTCCTGGTTGTTTCTGTGAATTTTTTCTCTGAGTTCACTTGAGGGCATTCATGACACCTGAGCAATTGAGCGTGTGGTCTTTCAGTACCACAAGAGTTTCTCTATCCTGACATATCCTGACGACCTTTTGCATGTTGTGCATTTTGACACTGTGCGTTGTTTCGAACCGCACCTTTCGGCAAGAATGGAGAGGGATATGGAAAGCCAAACAGTGTTTGTGCCTCAAACGGAAACGTGTGAGTATGCCACATACATTTAGAAGGTGGTATGACAGACACCTCACCGAAGCTTCAAGAACCAGCAGTTTGCCCCGCATCTATGTTTGGCGATGGGGCATACATGGTGTCACAACCGCCAGCACGTCATGGTTCACAACACACTTGGAACCAGTTTGCAGGTATGTACACTGACGCACGGACTGGTGGAAGTGGAAGACCCTTTTGCTTCTAAAGGAAGGGAGTCTTCCTGGGGTCCGCGTCCATTCAAGCTGCACGTTGCTTGCAGCATGTTTGCATCCCAGAATTGTTTCAAAGGGAAGTCTACAGGAAACCTATCGTTTTGATTCGTTTTGGAGGTGAAAACCATGGCTCCCTGTGGGTGTTCAATGATTTTCCATTCGATTGATTGCAACAGCTTGGCCTGTCGCCGCTTGCATCGCACTCAGGCGGATTCGCAAGAACGCGGAGACTTGGCGAATTCGCCCCTGAGCGTGGTGCGCACTGCGAGGTTATCACCTCCAACGTATAGTGATGGCCTCCAACCTAGTAGCGATGGCCTCCAACCACGGCAGTTGAGTTGTCACTAAGACCTTTGCAAGTTGACGACTTTTGTGACTTGCTTTGTGCTTTCTGTGGTGCGCGTATATCGCCGTATGCCCAAGCGCCATTGGCTGATTTTGGCATGAAGCTGCTTTGATCATATCAGCTTTGTTTGCGCTGAGAGGTTGTAGCTTTGATATGTTTTGATTATTTTTGGAAGGGGTTTGATATGGTTTGACTCTATTTCACCCACAGACCCTTTGTGGCACAATGGGCCATACTGCCGCTTCCACGCATTTTGTTCTGAGCCATCCCCTCCTGAGGGGCCAAACTGGAGAGGATGCTACAGGATACGGCAGGACCACTACCGGCCCTTCATAGCTCTTGATAGGCCGATAAGTTGATAATAAATTGATCACTCATCAAGGTGGATTCGATTCCCACCACTGCCACCATTTTCAGTGAGTGGCTGAGTATTTTTGTTCGTTTAGTTGTGCAGATTTGTATCGAAAAGGATTTTCAGCAAGGGTCCACAGATCTCATCCAACTTTCCGCTACTAGGAAGACATGGCACAATGAGAGGCAGACACACAATTGTCCTACAACTTCCAGCGACCCAACTCAGAAAACCACCATGTCGACTGCGCCAAAAACCACTCCGTTCGACGCTCCCACGCTCCCATGGAGTCCTTCGTCCAGAAGCGGCCGATCTCGTCCTTTGCGTCGCGCGACACGGCCCTGCCCTACTTGGCCATCTATGTCGCTGGGCGTTCGGCGGTGGCGAGTTCTTTCAGACCAGGTTTAAAGACGCACAGCTGCCGGCGCCAGACTCGGTCCATAAGTCGCCGGCTGGTGCGTGTGCTTATTGAAACATAGACCAGGAGTCACAGAGCTCGGGGTGGTGTTTTGTCCCTAAGTGAGTGGATAGTGAGCATCCCTAACCTCCATGGATAGCATCCCGACATGTGACTGCTGGTCCATTTTCCTTTACGAAGCCGACGTGGTAAAATCAGGTCTTTCTCTGTGGGTTGAGGTTTTGGGTGTGCACTCCGACTCACCAACATGGAAGTGGATGGCACTTGACTGCTGTGAAGGACCCTTGTGAAGGACACTTTTCCTCTACAAACAGGTGGTGTTCCATTTCCCATGCACTCCCTGGGACTGCCAGGACGGACTGCCGCCCCTGGCACCACCCACCACCACCCCGGTCGGCCGTTTTGGCAGTCCGACATGGCAGTCCCAGCCACGTCGCGTTTGGGTTTCGTGATGTGTTCGCTCCGGTTCGTGTCGCGCTTCGACATCGGTACCAGACGAGTCGGCCCAGTCGATGTTCCGTGAAAACATGGACGTCGTGGGGGGTTGTGACCTCTTTCATCAGCTTTAAAGCACCTGCCCTAGGGCTCCAGTCGTACTTCCTCAGAAGGTGTTTGGGGTGGGTGCCAGGAGGGTCCAGTCATACCTTCTGAGGAGGTACGACTGGAGCCCTAGGGCTGGAGCTTTGGATCATGGCCTTATGAATGGAAGATCATTGAAGACCATCCGCTCCGCGGTCGTCGTTCATCGCCATCCGAACTGGCCGGCGTTGGTTGAGCCACTCGACAGGTGCTGAGTGGCGCGTGTCAACCGTTGCTGATGTGCGAGGTGCATGCTGCGGGCTTAGGCGATGCCCGGTGCCAGCTCTACATGGCCTTTTGGGCGACAGATGGGATCAACACGAGAGCCTGGTAGGGGGGTGGTTCTTGGATGTTTGATTTTTCAGGGTCTGTCTACCCTGGAGGTTGCTTGGAGTAGAGCATGGTCCATTTCCATAATAATATAATAATGCATGTTGACCATGCCGTGCCCCAATGCCAGACAAAGTTGCGTCTTGAAGTGACAGGTCAGAAGTGCATGTTAACATTTGTTTCTTTCACGATCGGTTGACTGCCGAGAAATGCATGTTGACCATGATGGTGCAACGATCTATTGGGTCAACAACAATGCAGCACACCATGGAGCTTCCAGTGCGCAACTGATACCCAAATGTTCCGGTCTTCAAGTCAGATCCTTCGTTTGTCGGGTGGGCCTTGTTTTCCCTGGACATGACCCAGGCGCCCAGAGCCAGAGCCCGGTTCCCACCCCCATGTAGGTAAATCTGCAGTTCTGCCATGAAGCGTTTTGGGGTTTGGGGAGACTCCTGAGAGCGGAAACGACACTGGTGTCGGAGCAAGAGGTGCAACGAGACGGTTTGGGTTTGCCAATGAGGAGTGATCAGGATGGACCCGGGGCAGTACGACTTCGTATCCGGAATGCTCAATACATGCCATGAAGACTCAAAAAGGGGTCGTGTTCACAACGGGGTGGCATCCGTATTGGAAGGAGGTACGAAGATTGCTTCGAAAGAAGCCCACTCAACCAAACATGAGATGAGCCATGAGGGATTTCCTGATTACCCATTCCAAATACATGGACATACAGTGGTTTTGTTTATAACAAAAAATCTGTCGGTTGCGGTCATGCGAGCCAAAAGGCCCGGAAAAGCTTTCTCATGCACAGGCAGTTCAAAATACATAGATAGAAGTTGTAGATCCCCACGAAAAATGTACTGGAAACCGTTTCTATCTTTGAAGGACCACTATAAACGCAGACTGCCCAGGTCTTCTACTATTTGGGCATGTCCTTCACTGGTCTTCTGCAGCTCTGCCGCGCTGACGACGCCGGCCTCCCTGGGCTGCAACTCCAAAGCGGGTCACTGAAAAGACACATGGATGTATGGACGCTGCTCCCCTGTGTTTTTGTGGCCTTCTTTGGCATCACTGCGCAAAGCCTCAACTGGGCAGGGAATATGCGAGCAGCTTGGCACATTTGTTGGGCCATTTTTTCGGATGTTGGGTTCCATCATGTTGACATGGGCGATTGGAAGAACTTGGCTGTGATGTTTGTAGACTCGCCCTTGAAGATTAACAGTGACCTGAATCACTTGCTTCCAAACGTCCATTTTCAGGTTCCACGTGGGCCTCTTTCCAGGTGAGACAGTCCGTCTTTCACACGCGTTTTCGCTCGGAGCATCAGATGTCGCATCGGATGTCGTGGGGGTCCCAAACTTCGAATGATGACGTCCAATCGATGTCCCGTCGAGTCCGTAACGAAGGGTTGGAATGGTAAGACTCGACGGAAGGGTTGGAACAAATAGATGGGGAATGGTTCCGGACATTAAGTCCGTAACAAATAGAAGGGTTGGAATGAGACTCGACGGATGAATGAACTGAACTCGGGAGATTCCTTCAAAGAACAGTCACCCCTTGACAATGGTGTGATGTGGAATGGCCCCTTTCAACATGCAAATGTGAGTGTTCTGACTGGCACTTGGTGGAACAAGGTGGACATAATTAGACCTTCCAACTGTACAAGATTTTGCTTGTTCATTATTGTTAAATACAAGTCTCCCTCTTATAGTTCAGAAAACCTGTCAACAGTCACTTAAGAATCCGCTGGAGCGAACTGACACACGACACTCCGACACACCTCCAAGAGCTCAGGTTTTCTGTACGTTGCACTCCCTGAAATGAACCCGGAAAACCACCGCGTCTATCGAGGAACATGATCATCCAAGGGGCAAAGTGTCCACGTCCATGATGATTCCGGGGAGCTGACCCAGTTTCAACATCTCACATGACGGTCGTGGTGAGGGGTCGCATGTTCGGGCATCAAGATCGCTAAGAAAAACACCAACACAGACACACATTCCAGGAACATTCCAGGAACTTCATTCGGTCAAAAGCTTTTCACCAGTGGCGCCCTGAAAAAGAGAGTTTCTCAGGCGGGTAGTTCCATCTTCGCGGTGGTTTATGCATCGGTGACCATTTGGGCTGCCTTGCTTTCGCGGATTCTACTACAGCTGCTGGACCGAAATTTGCACGCTGATTGAAACGAGTGAATGGCACAAACGAAGGCCAACGGGGGGCCCATCTAAACCACCTTTTGGACATGTGTGCCATCTACTTGATTACTTGAAACCACCAAGTTAACAGTCACTATCAGTGAAAAGTCGCATCTTCAAGAGCACCAGCACGGAACATGGATGTGGGGCAAGCACAGCTCCGACAGCTCCCCATTGAGAACGCGCCTGTGGGGCCATCAACCAATATCCCTAGGGATCCAAGTACCTTCTCAGGTTCGGCACTTGGATCCTCCAAACACCCACCCCAGTCCCACCGTCTGAGGAAGTACGACTGGATCCCTAGGGCAGGTGCTTTAAAGCTGATGAAAGAGGTCACAACCCCCCACGACGTCCATACGAAAATGGCTTTCAGCGTCCAGACCCCGCGGACCGTCCGGATTCGAAGTTGACAGCAGCAAGTCCGGCCGTTCCTCTCGGGGCATGCGGGGGGTGACGCTCGCCTTTGCTGGTCTTCCGGAGGTTCCTGGGTTTAGGGGGTTCCAAATGAGGTTAAGTGACCTCAACTAGGACCCTATTTAGTGGGGGTACCTACTGTATATGGGATATAGTCGAACTAGGGTTCTTCAACCTCTGGTAGTTCCCAACCTGTATCACCTCGGAGGATTGACATGAAACATCCTGGAGCCGGGCTTGGGACCAGACCGGAAGACAATGTTCCTCTACCAACCCGACGTGACCCGATGTGGTTAGTTCATGTGACTTCGGGTTCCATATTTCGGACCCAGGGGTGTCTCACCCATTCTCCGAGAAGCTCAACAGCCCCGAAACACCCCTGGGTCCGGAAGGGTGTCTCACCCATTCTCCATGTGTTAGGATTCTCCATGTGTTGGGTTCTCCAGGGAAAGCTTTTTCAGACCCCACGTGTCCTCTCCCCTCGTCCGTCGGAGGCGCCGGCTGAGCCGGCGTCAGTGGCTGAGCATTGGCAGCGTCTTCGGGGGCCTGGCCTTGACGGGGTTGGATGCCAAGAGCCTGGGTCCGGAGGTCTTCATGGGGAGCCTCATGATCGCCACAGGCGCGTTCCAGTCGTGGAGGATCAATTGGGAGAGATGAAGGTCATCGGAACTCTCTACACCTCCCGCTGTATTTCAGAAGGTTTGACAGGACCCTCCTGGCTACCCACCCCAAACACCGAACCTCGGAAGGTATACTTGGAGCGGCTGAGCATCCTTGGACCCGACCTGGAAATTGGCAGAGGTCCGGACCCTCCCACACCTGCAGATGCATGGACTTCGGACCCGAGACCGAAACCCTTTGGGCCCATTGAGAAGGGCTCCAGGGTCTTCAGCCTGAGCTGATCTGGGTCCTCGTCAGCCCTATATATGATCGGTGAAACCCCCCTTTTGGTGAATATCTTTACGTCAAAGGTTCCTACCTAGCACTTCCACGCCCTCTCTGGTAGGGTCTAGCCAGGACACCCATGTCCGATCCGATAAGCCAATCCAAGATCAGGGTTGTCAGGTCGGATGTCTTCCCCTCGATTCTGCAGGCACCATTTTGCACGCCACCTGCCACACACCCTTTCGGAGCTGATCTCCGTGCGTGGCCATAGGAGACGGGGAGTTACTGTCATGTCGCACCAGCCAAAACCTGGTTGACCATGTTTGGTAGTAGTCTATTCTGTGCATGTTCTGTGGTCAACCAGGAATCCTAGCTTTTGACCCACAGCCATGTTCTTATTGCACTTCTTGCCTGCCTGTGGTGAAAAATTGGATCGAAATGGTGCAGGCAGCAAAGCCATGTTGAGCACCTGAAGTTACCAGTGAGTCAGTGAGGGCCAGTAGATGACTTTTGCATACTTTTGCCATGACTTTTGCCTCCCTGTCTAGCTTGGAGAGAGCCTTGCAACTATGTTTGTGGAAGCATGTGGACACTGTGTCATCTATTGAGTCAATCACCCCGGTGTTGCCATGTGGCGCGGTAGCACTGCCAGTAGCCCCACACCACAACTCAGACTGCCACGGCTGGTGCGGAAATGCCGGAGTCGTGCCACAGACCCTGCGACAGCTGGAGCTTCCCGATCTCATCCCCACCTATCCACGCCTCAAGTGTTGGCCACTCAGCTACTACAGTACTCTTCATCAACACATGGGCCCATTTATCGGCCCCAAGAACAACTCTTTGGAAAGGAACAGACATGTGACCAACAACATGTGCATCCGCCAGTAGGTGGGGAGCTCGTGCCGCGATCGTGGGGAGTATGACGATCGATGGCTGTGTCTGACCTGGGCAGGATTCCAGCACATTTGAATGCCTGCGTGCAGGGGCTGACTGGTTGCACGGTGGTAGGCGTGGGCTTTCTGCATTTCTTGTCAAAGTGTCAAGGCACGGGCGGCATTCCACCTCAACTGATATCAACTGCACAAGAAAGGAACTAAAGCATGGGCTGGCTCTAATTATGTTTCTTACTAGACGCAGGCAAAAACTTATGGTTCGCTTGCAGTATGCAAATGCCACTGCTCCGACTTTCAAAGAGGACAACCAGACCCGTATGTCGGATGACTTGGGACGGGGAACTCCTTCGATGACGTGGCCAACATGTGGTCCCATGTTGTTGAGCACCAGATGTGTGACATGCAATGGAACAACGTGTTCCTCCTCGCATTCATACAGGATAGCTACTTCAAGTACACCAACCCATCATCAACCTGTAAACCTTTGAAGAAATTAGAGCCTCTTCAAAGAGTTGTGGGAACATGACTGTCCTCAGCTCGTAGTTCTTGTCAGTTTGTTTTTGGTGAGCCAGCATGTCAATGTCACAATGTCCCTCGGTTGGGGGACATTTACTGTGAAATACCGTTTAGCAGTTTTTTCTTCATGGCATCACCTTGGCAACTGGATGATGGAACTCTGGCAATGTCAGCATCCAACTTGAGGTTGCTGGTATTTACCGAGGGTATCTCCACTGCCGATTCGTTTGTTGCGAGGCGCTTGGCAACTGACTTTTACTTTCCCCCACTGGGAGCGCATTGCAGGCCCTGTGCAGGAGGCAGCGAAGCTCAGCTCATTTTCCAGGTTTTGGATCTGTTGGTGAATGGATAGACGTGGCAAACCGCGCGCACTTAAGCTTAGTTTTTCTTGAAACGAGTTGTTTTTTTCCCGAACTGGGTAAATCCTCTCCTGGTGCAGATTCTTATTGTCTACCAGCTCCTTAAGCAAATCCAAGTAAAGACTTTGTTTGTTTGGAGCTTTCTCCTCTGGCCTTGACGAAAACAAGCTGATTCAGAACTTTTGGCTGCCAGGAAGTGCCAGAAGCAAACAACCAGAAATGCAGATGACGATGTCGCATGTGTTCAGTTGGGGTGTGGGGTGATTCGACAGATACATCATGATACATCACTAACATCAGCGAACCCATCAACGCTCCACAAACAGTGTTTGCGTTGTACAGGCGGGATCCTCCTGGGCCTATTGTGCTGTCCTCCTGCTTGCGCTGGCCTTGAGCAACTTTGTTCATGCCACCGAGCTTTGTTTAGCCCATTTTGGGGGGTGTCCTATTACCTGTAACAGTCGGTAAACAATTACCACGTACTATTGTAGAGAAAGGCCTGCAACCTAACCATAATCATCCCCGTTTACCGGGAATTGGATATACTCAAAGGCTGATTCAGAAGTGCTGCTTGCGGACGATGGGGCAATTTTTTACGGTCGACCCTGACACATCAGTCTTTTGAAATCTGAGCTTGGTAAGTGCAATGTGAGAGCAGCGCTCTTGTGAGAACGAAGATCTACAAGACTTTGGAGCACTTGGGGCATATCTCAAGTTTACTCAACTGGCAGGTCAAAACTCATCAAAAACCATCAAACACCAGTACCGCCAGTACCCATAAGTGTACTGAAAGACTCCCAAAAGGGAAAGGCTAGCATAAGACTGAAGGAATCGCCTCGGTGGTAGTTGCCTAGACATTTGTTTTCAACCTTTACTTGGGATGCTTGAACCCATGGACAATATGGTTTCATTTGCGTTAATTTCATTGAAGCTACCAACCAAGGACACAATTGCATTTGAGTTAAGATTTATGTTGCAATTCTTGGCCTTCATTGGGCCGCAGCAATTTAGACTTCCATCAGGTCCACCGATCTGGTTTCGAGCTTTCTGGCAGATCGCAGAACCTGCGGACAATTCTTGGCGGTGTGGCGCTGTGGCAGTCCCACCCCCCACCCGAGGGAAGGACACCCCGCCGAGCCGAAACCGCCCCGAGGCTGGCTCCTTCTTTCATTTGTTGACGAAGGCGCGGCCAGTCTTGATGGCATTGCCGCAGGCTTCTTTATAGGTTTTGATGGCCCTGCTTTTTCAGCTCGGTCACTCATCGGCCCCGTTTTTTCACCTGTGGCCGTTGGTTCACGGCAAGCAGCAGTTGGCCGATCGAAGACTCGAAGCATCTCGAAGCCCTTCATATCTGCCCTTCCAGATTTGTGGTTGATTCATCGGATGTGGCTTTTAAAGAACTGTTTCTTTTTGCCCGGACCCATCCTGACCTTTTAACCCCCCCCTTCCAAGTATAGACGACGCGTTTGCTCCCACAGCCAACTTGCACTCCAATGTCTCTTTCTTGGCAACCCTTCAACTATAATTATAGACTCGTGGCATCGAAAAGGCCCCATATCTGTGAAGAGGTCGACAGGGTTTTACAATCCACGTTTGGAGGATGTTTTTTCTTAAATCAAGCTTCGAGATTCTACGTGCTCCCAGACACCCCACTCCCAATCTGTTTGCCCTTCTCTTCGCACGCCCTCCGTTTCTGCTGCAGGTGGGTGTGGTGTCCACCGGTGTGGCCAAAGCGCTGCAAGGGGTTCTGGTCTTCGTGCTGTCACATGTGCTCTACTGCAGGCTCCTGTCACAGCTTGGAGAGCATAACACCCAGACGCGACACGTCTGGGACTGCCATAGGACTGCCGATCAGTTGGGGTGGTGCCAGGGGGGTCAATATATACCAGTCCCATAAGTCGTGTATACCAGGACCCCTTCCAACAGGTGGTTTTGGGACACCTTGAATCACCTCTAAGAGGACACCTCTTGGAAGCTCCTGGTCATGCGTTTGCTTGTTCTGCTTCGGATGGGGTCCGGATGTGTCCGTCCTTGATCGGCGCGGTGCTGGAGCAAGCGAGTCGCGAGCGAGGGGTGGGCCACTGGAGCCGGTTTTGGGGGGTTGAACGGTTGGGTTGGAGGAGAGACCGGCATAAGCCAGACGCTCCGTTCACAGCCCGACTGGTCCCTCAAAAGCTAGTAGGGATTTGAGACTCCTGAGCCCTCCATATGAGGGTCCAGGATCGCGTCTGGGAAGCCCCTTTAAGGTGGCTCTTGCTCATGTGGGCAGATGCCGAAAGAGGGAACTGGACTCTGCACAAATACGACCAGCTTCTTCCAAAAAGTGGCCGAACTGACTGGAGTCCATCCGGTGACCTTTTCCATTGATTTTTTCCCTCTGACAAGTCCTCAAAAAGCAGGGCTGGTGGTTTAAGCCACAAGTGATTGATGATCGAAGTCATTTCCCGGTGCACCTTCAGCCCAGCTCTTCTTGATTTTCCCGTTGGACCTATTGAAGATACCGTCGCGCCTTGTCGTTGATAGGCACGATGAATCTCAATGTTTTTCGCCTGTGAAGGGACTGTCTGCAACTCAGAGCTCAATTTTTCTGCAAATGCGCTTCAGACCCCACAGTAAGAACCCTTGCTTGTGATTGAATTGCTGACCCCATAGTAAGTTCCTTTGTTCACCTTCATTCTTCAATAGCACCATATATTCAAGATACTCACAAAAAGTAGAACAGTCAGTATCAATTTGAAGGATGGGTCACGCCAGTCCACCCGGCGTCCATCCCTCCAAGGTCCTTGCTGATCGTGACCCTAGGCGTCCTATCCTATGTGGCCAGCGCGTCGCCCTCCTAGTCGGACGAAGGCTGCAGCGGCCGGACCGGCGGCGGCCGCATTCCATACGTCGGTTTTTTGCGGCACAGGAAAGCGCTTTTTTAAAAGTAGGCCCTAGTAGTTAGTCCTTTTGAGTATTCGTGACTCAGATGTGTTTGATTGTTTTCCGGCCGTTCGCGGAGCTGTCGAGCAGCGTGAAACGCTGTTGTCGACGCCTCCATGCATCGTTTTCGAAGAAAAAAGGACTCACGGGTCATCACGGGTGAATCGTGCAAGCAGTTTTTGTCCACGAGGAGTGGCTGCACAGTCTCCGGCTTTGCTTAAGCTTTCGGTTGAGGTGTGCCTTTTGAACTCAGGCAAATGGATTTCCAGGACTAGCTCACTAGCTGTCAACAGCCAACCCTCACACGGGCAGCGATGTCAGTGGGGCTACTGGCTTTGCAAGACAGCAACACATTCCACCATGCTCAGCAGCTTTGAGGGCAAATCCCGCACTTCCTACAGTCCTACAGTATAGTTATGCTGGCCAGGCACTAGTCACCAGGTCACAGGGACAGCTGAGCTTCCGGCAGGCTACAGAGGGAGACAGAGATCTCTTATACATATCATACAAATACTGACTGATAAATCCACTCAATTACGTTTGGCAACTCAAGGGTGCGTTTCCTCCGTAGACTTGACAATGCATGACCTTGGGTGCAGGGCGTAGTCCTCCCAAGTAGGGCAGTGCCAATGGTGCCACAACTATGGCGGATCTCAGTTGGGCTCTCAGTTTCATGCCCCTTGACCATGGGCCATCCAGGGAGAGTTGATGCTTCACTAATAGGACGAAGATGACAGCCACAAGACTGGTACGGGCACGAGAATTGAGGAACAGGTCGTGCTGGTACCGTTCCATGTTCATCTGAATGCTGGCCACATGCCAATGATCGCTGCTGGCCACATGTTGAGAAGTGAGAGGAATTGAGTACCTTTGAATCTGGCACAGATAGTCATTTGCACAATGATCTCACCATGCTTCACCTATATATTGGACTTTGACAGGAAGGTGTGGGAAAAAGAGACCATGATGGTCTAGGGCGTCGGCTGTTTTGGAGGTGTCATTCAGAAAAAAACAGAAGAAAACAGCACAACCAGAGATAGCGAGAGGGAGGGAGGGAGGGAGGGAGAGAGAGAGAGAATCATGCTCCACCTACAGAGGTTAAGTGACCTGAACTAGGACCGTAACCAGGGGTACCTATAGGATAGTCTAGTTCGGGTTCTAACCCACCTCTGCTGGCATGTGGCGGGGTTGGGAGGCACATCATGCCCTAGCTCTTGAGGCTATGGCGATGCCGCCTATTGGGACCAGCGTTACTCCACGAAAGGCAGCCCTGATGCCGCTTCTTCCGGAGAAGGGTTGGGAGGGTCGGAAGGATGGAAAGATGTTGTGATTGTTGTGCTTTCAAGCCAACCAGGAGCAAGGACGCTACTAGGAGCAGAGGGCATCCCTACTAGGAACAAGGATGCTAAGTTGTAGTGCTGTGATGGGGTCATTTCTTATTCGTTCAAGGCGCTCCTCCACTGTGGAGAGATCGTGGTGTTTTCGATCGCACATGAAGAGATCGTCGAGGTGCACCCCCACCTCCGACATTGAGACTTTCTTGGTGAGACCAGAGCCGAAGAATGTGAGAGTGGAGACGAACACGGAGCGTGTGAATCTTCAAAATGTAGGAATCTTGGAATAGCCCTTACAACTCCAAGCACCTCCTCAGAAGGTATGACTGGACCCTGCTGGCACCCAGTCCCACCTTCTCAGAAGGTGCGACTGGAGCCTTAGGGGAATAGTGAGATGTTTCCTTTGGAAGGTTTTGGAAGAATCTTTGGACCGGACCATGTTGAACGTGGCAGATTTTGTGTTATTCAACGGATCCTTTAGGTGGCTGCAGTCTCAATTTCGCTGATCATCCTTTGCAAGAGTTCGGACAAAAGCATTGGTAGCACTTGTTTTCGCTGATGAACGTGATGTGAGAGTGCACGTGGAGTTCAAAACCGTCATTGGTAACAGGAAACCTATGGAAACCTCGTAACCAGGCACCTGGTTTCTTATGCGTCATGCCCTATGTTCACTGGGTTTGACTGGTATTCGGGAGTGCCCAAGAAGTACTTTTTCCATATTCTTCCCGCGTATTCTGCTAGGGCTAGGGATATTATCTCCGTTGTTTCCGCCAAAGATTGGCGTTCCTGCTGCACGTCGGGTCGCAGGATTGTTCTTCCAAATTAGGCTCGGCCTCCTGTTGTTTGCAAAGGATGCTGCCTTGAAAAGTAGCCAGCCAGCAGCCCAAACTCACAAAAAGGATGGGGATCCAACTCCAAACTCAACTTCGGAACTGCTGGCACCGCCATCCCCAGCTCCTAAATTAGGCGCTCCGCTTTTTCTGTTCTCCCAGCTAAGCTGCGCAGCATCAGCTCAGACCGGGCAACGCGCCTAGGAGTGGCTCTTGCACTGGACCTCCATCTCCCAAGTCTTTGAGAAGTACTGCGGCGAGCACAGGCGGACGGAGCGCGACGCGGGCGGTGTCCGCTCGATCCGCGCGAGACGAATTCCGCACGAAAAGAGCTGGTTTAGCCGCCTATCTCATTTGTTGGGGGTGTGCTCAGTAAACCTGTTAACAGTCAACAGTCACCACATGTCATCACTTCTTTAGAGGAAGGCCCTTACTAAGCACCATTACAGGGAATGGGATATACACAACCCATATGTAATTACCACTAATTAACGTACTATAGCTCTAGGATCCCATAAGGTCGCTCGACCTTTTGTTGGAAGGGGCGCCACAGGAGACCGTAGGAGTCGGAGAGTTCGACAGAAGCGGAAGTCGAACCTCCTATTAGCTTTCGTAGGGACAGTCTCAGGCCTTTGAGCAGTTTGGGCCACACCTACAAAACACCACCCTTCCGGCGTCCCGGCCATTCTCCCAAAGCCACCAACCAGCAAGTGATTCAATCAAACATCATCAAGCCGCAAATTGAAGTTTCTTCAAGCTCGCCAGGACTCAATGGAAGTTTCTTCACGCTGGATGTGGCAACAGTGCTTTAACCTTCGAGCAGCTCGACAAAGCAAAGTGTTCCCTCATTGACGCACAAATGGGTGAATCACTTGATCGCACTTGGTGTTGGAACCGGTGTTAGTCTTTCAGTTGAAGTGGGCCAGTCTTGCTGTCCACTGGGTGACCCTCCCTCACTTCGAGAACATTGTTGGATGCAACATGCCCAATCGCCGCTGAAAACGTGCGGCGACGTGGGGTTTTCACGTTCTGAAAACCCAGACCTTGATGTTCAATGCCCGCGGCGACGCCCCATGATCAAAATGTTCAACGGCCAGGTGCTGTGGGAAAATGTTCCATTTTGTTCCTTCACCCTGGGATTCAATCAACCATTGTTTTAATGCGGAATGCGGAATGGAAAACATATATACTGTATATACCTATAGGATTCAAACAACGTTGTTTTAAGGGTCTGAATCCCAAAGAACCCTTGTTTTACTGAGGATTTTTACACTACACCACCAGCTCAAGCATTCTTTTAATGGTCTTTGAAGGCTAGGGTTTATGTTCCTTCATTTCAATTGGTCCAATTCATTCCATACCATCGGAGGCCAAACCCAAGTGGAGGTCATTTTGTAGTTCGCTCGCGATGTGTTCGTTCGTTCGTTCGTTCGTTCGTTCGTGATGCAGTTCCCAACTTCGTACATTGCTTGCCTCAGGATGTATCGAGCTGGATATCGTCAGATCACCAGTGCCTTGCATGGAGCATCCGGGTGGGTTCTCCGATGCGGGTCATGAGGGCCAGCGTTCTTTGACTGTCAAGTTGTTAACAAGGAACATGCTGCTAGCGCTGCTCAACTAGCAGCAGGTTCATGTCTTGGTGGCGCAGGGGGGGTTCCAGCAGCAATAGACAAACATGCCATGCATTCAGATTCCTACCTTGGTTCTCCACCGATGCTGAAGGTTTCATGAGACCATCCGCAGGAGCTGTTGGTGACTGGAACCAGACCTGTTGGCCAAATGCACAACCTCACATGTCCAAATGCAAAAACTCCGGGGACGGGGTACGGGGGCACCCCTGGCACTGGGGGCCCTGATGGGCCCTGGTATATTGACTTCTGCTGAGGGAACTTATAGAGGCGACCCTTGGAAGTGGGCTTCACCACCTGTTTGTAGACAGATTCGTTTTCCCAGTTAATAATGTAGACCCAACAGAATATCCATTTGCTAGAACTGCCTGGTCTTCTTTTTCTTAGTGCTGTTTGATCCACTCCATGAGTGGTTGGGTTTGGGGAGTTCATTAGGGCCCAAGGCTTTAGTCAGCAAGTTGCTGTGCTTTTACTTCACACGTGAAGGCTGTGTTCATCGATGTGCTCGTGCGCAGACGTGCGTCCGGATGTTCACCACGCGTCCGGCTTGCTGAGTGAAAGCAACGTCCACGCGTCGGCTCCAACGCTCTGTTAGATACCAACGGACAGGCTGAAGTGTATATCCCAGACACGACCTGTCGGGACTGCCATGACGGACGGCCGATCAAGCCGGAACCCCCGGATTCCTTCCACCACCACCCCGGTCGGCAGTCCTTTGGCAGTCGCAGACAGGTCGTGTTATGTCGTGTTTGAGTATTCACGACCTGGTCCGCGGGGCCACCGGTGCAGAACCATTGAGGTATCGACAACTCCGCCACGGTCATCCAGCAAATGCAGGCCGCGTGTTGAGTTCGTTCGTGCGGATGTTCGGTGCTGAACCAGGATGTGGATCGGATGTACTGAACGGAGATGTTGCCAGTGGCGGAATTGGTTTGGAGAGAGCACAATGATCTGTGCACCCTCCGTAGCCGCCGTAGCACTGGGAATTCCAGGCCCGCCGGGCCCCTTTCTCCGATGAAAAGACCCGTTCCTTTTATACTGGAAGATGTGCCAACATTGGGGTGGTTTTCAGATGCTTTAAAGCTTCACAGATGGTTATACTGTAAATAGAATGGCAAATTGACATCTTCCAGTCCAGCGTGGATGGTTGCAAGACATATGACCAGGCTGATCCATGCTGACCCACATCGTTCCTGATCTCGGGAGGGCAATATGTGTTCACGTCTCACCTCCTCCGTCGGTGCAGGAGGCGCACGGTGAGGATGGCCTGGAGTGGTTCTGCATGGATGTCGGTGTGCCTTGACCGATCGGGTTGAGGGGAAGGTAGAGCTGAGAGCTGAGAGCCAAACGGAAGAGACTGAATCACATGGATCCTGGATGATCTGGATGGCTTGGAAAGGAGGGGTGGCTCGAGTGCAAGCCAGCCGCGGTATGAACGATAACGTGCTCATGCAGTACCAAAACTGGTAGCCGAATTGGCTGAAGGGGCTTAAAACTCTTGAACCACCTGTTTTTGTTTCAACAAGGTGTTGCAAAAAGTGGAAACGAGACTAACCAGCTCGAATGGACAGCCATCAGAAGGGTAATATACACTAAATGGCAGATGCAGTGTTTTATTGGTGTGTTCTTCTATAGGCAGGGTTGAGAACTCTCAACTACATGCTCTCCTTCCAATTTCGACACCTGAAAAAATCCATTTACCCAAAAATGCCTGGCCCCTTCCCCCGGTGACGGACTCGTCCTCAGCTTCGACCCCGCTGTTCCTCCGATGCACCGATCCGCCCACCCGGCGTCGGCAGGAGATGAGCCTCGCGGAGCAGAGCTTCGATGTGGTCATCGAAAAAGGCGCCGCGCCGGGCGGAGTTGGCGCCGAGTAGGCGGTGGTGGAGATCAAGGAGGCAATGGGATGAACATAGAGAGTTTTGGTAGTCTTGACATGTTTTGACTGGTACTGGGAGAAAAAAACACATGGCACGTTTAACGTGTTCCTCCAAAGCACACGGTGAGGCCTTCTGGACTGCTTGGCATGCATGGAGGATGCGCACTTGGCCACCGCGAAGTGCATGAAGGAGGTGCCGTGCTGTAACCGCCGTTGGCCGCGGTGAGCCGGGCTGGTGCGGAGGTGACCTGCATCCACTGCAGAGGCGCATGGATCATTCGATCAGAACCCCAGTCCCAAGCAGAAAGAGTTCCCAACCATGAAACTCCCTTCCGCGTCCCAAGCATTTCGTCCGTGGATTTCAAGCTGGCGCCACACTGGAAGAAGCAGACTTATTTCTGGGACTGGGCCTTGCATGCTTTTTCAAGTCGCGACGATGACCTGTAGAGTCGGGTGCTGGGATATGTACTGTAGCGACGGTTATATAGACTGTTGACGAATCACATGCCCTCTTTGAATTGTAAAAAACCATGTCAAACCTCTCCACATGCAGTGGTTGACATATCAATTATAACCAACCGGCTTTAACACCCTCGGTGTTGCAACTCGAAGTGCAGGCCAGCACCCCGCTTCCGACTCCGGGTACTTCGGTGGAACCATGATGCCAAGCATTGACCCTACTATTGGTCTCCAATTTGGACACCCAGTGGAAACGCTATTCCTAAGCGTGCTTGATTTCGGCTGAAGTGAAACACCTTGGAACGTGTTGTTGCCCATTGTCCGACTAGTTCTCAAGACAGGAAGCTCCAATCGCAATCAATGAACAGCTCTTTTTTTGGGGTGATCGCGGTCTGTTGGCTCTATACTCGTAGAGCCGGTGCCTGTATGATTTATACAGGTTGATTACCTGGCACTGGGAGTCAACCTCTCTCCACGGTCTGGTGGAAAGAAACGGTCGATGGGTACCTGGCACTGACCGACCTCCTTTTCTTCCCAGAAGAGGACCTCGTTGATTCCCCCTTGACCTCATCGCAACTTCACGCAGCAAAAGATCCAACTGCTTTTGGTTGGGACTAACACGGAAATCAGAGAGAGAGAGAGAGAGGCCTTTTGACCAAAATCGAACGAACTTCCCTATAGTGCCATGAGATCAGGTCATCCGCATCTTAAAGTTCGATGGCTTCTTCTTTTGCATCAGCTTCAATCATCAAAGGGCACCCAGCCTCACCTCGGCGCCCTACCATTTCCGCCTCTTGGAATTGGGATGGGTGGGGGCCACAGCATTGGGCTTTGGGAGGACTATAGGACCACTGTAGCCCCAAGCGGGATGAGCGGTTGGGTGGTAAGAGAGAGGATCGTGTGGGTTTCGCCAATCAGTTCCAGCGTGTGTGAAGTGTTTTGTGAACAGGTAGATATGACACGTGCGAAGTTGGATGAACCGGAAGACGTTGCTCGAATTTCACCCTATGGGCTCCAACCAAATATCTTCAGAATCGTGGTTCGCCTTTTGGCACTCACCCCAACCATCTTCTCAGGAGCTAAGGCATCCTGGCCTCCAATTTTGGGTGGTTGCCTCAACCAGTACCTTCGGTTCGGGGGTCACCTGGCTGGTTTCGCCCCAGCCCACCATGGTCCAGCAAGGTCATCAGCCCGCGCGCCGCGCAGCCCCCGCGACCCGCGCGCAGCACAGGCCTTTGTGAACTTCAGCGCACGGCCGCGCTCGGCGCGGAGTACTACGTGTGCCGTGGATCGATTCGGTTCCGCGGTCCGCCGGAACCGGGCCGATGGCGCCGTGGGCCTGGCACAAAGGGCCGGGGGGTCGAACTGGTGTTGGTTGATTTCGTGGGTTTTGGGGTGACATCACCGCAAAGAACGATTGGTTGGGTGGTGGACATCGCGAACCGGGAGAAGTCCCAGCCTGGCGTTGTTTGTTTTAGGGTTGGTTTCTCGCAGTTGTTGGAAGGTGATCTCGAGTGTGTTGTGTGTGAGGTGTGTATGATTGTGTATGTCCAGTGCGGCACATCCATCTTCGAGTGGGAGTGGGAGTGTGTATTTTTGGAGTACTTGCATCGACTCCATGGCATGATTAATGCGTAATTCCTTTGTGATCCTGGCTCAGCAAGTGACACAGGAATAGGCTGTGTGACAGTGGTGTCGGCGTGGCCGGAATTCGGCAGATCCGACACCCCCTTTTGCCAAGATGCCATGCCCTTTCGGAATCCGCAGTGCCGCGCATCAGCTCGAGCGTCAAGGGGCTTGGGCGAGCAGCTACCGAGCAGTGCTGCAGCGCTGCGGTGAGGAGCCGTGGAACATGCAGGTGGCGATTCACAAGCATATGGAGGGCTTTGTGATCACCAACCCATGCTGTTCTGATGCGGTTCAGCAGTGGAATGATGAGCATCCTGAGCTCAGCATTCAAGCGGGGCATGTTATCATGGAGCTCAACGGCTTCAGTGATTACAGCAACATGAGGGAGCAACTCCGAAGTGCTTCCACCTTGAACTTGCTCATGTCCACAGTGCGAGACGCTGACCAGGAGAAGGCCTTCCAGGTGCACTTGAAGCGGGAAGGTCTTTTTGCTGCACTTGATGCTTTGGTGGTCAAGGTCCACTCAGTACCTGGTGACTGTGGCGCCGAGGCTTGCTCCATTTGTCATGAGGACATGGACGGTGCCGAAAACCACGGCGGTGGGTGCTGTGTGCGGCTCCCATGCGGACATCATTTTCATGAGCTTTGCGTGAAGAAGTGGCTGGTGACTGGGAAGCACCGTTGTCCATTGTGCAACGGTCATCTTGACCTTCAATAATTCAACTTGGAGCAGCCGAGCTCGCTGCTCCAATTTTCCGAATCGCGTGATTCGAGGCTTCAGGGCTTTTTTCCAAGGAGCGGAGGTCAGCCCTCCTTGAGCACCTGAGTCCATGCAAGCTTTTCCGAAAGCCGTACCCGGGGGTTTGCTCCCAATTTTTGGTCCCAATCGTCTCCTCTTGGCACCGCTTTTCACGCCTGCCGCCTGGCGCCATCAAGCCTCTTTTCCAGGACTGGTGGTCAGGCTGAAGCCTTTGGGTTTGCATTCAGGTAAAGACGTCCTCACTGAGACCGGTGTCCCAAAAAAGAACTATCGTCAGGGTCCAGTCCAGCGAGCCTCTGGTCGCATGAGGCCGGATTTGGGGCTCGGAGAATGTGAATGGTTTCCAACCCAGAGGCTCATGGACCCTCAAACTGCTACATGTTTGAGGTCCCAAACCCTGGCTGTGAGGGTCAAAACCCTAGCTATGAGGGTCCAATGAGCCTCTGGGAAACATGGTTTCCAAGGTATGTCTTCCAGAAGGCCTCCGCCAGCATCTTGAGTTTGTAGCTCGGCGATGGATTTCGTCGAACGGTTCGGGGGATTGGGAGGCCCTCCAACATAGCCCAGCTTGACAAGCTACCTGAGCACGTGATTTGGTCGAGGAAGGGCGCCCGTGTGTGTGAGGGACATGTAACATGTATACAAGTATAGTGCATGTTATCCTGCTCCAAAAGCCTTCAAAAGGCTGAGTGGGGGGATTTAGAAGGAGGAGACCGGGAGCATGGAGGGTGATTAGAGGGCACAGTTGAAAAGGCACAAGACCTGCATGGTTGCCACCTGCAAACGGGAACCATTTTGTCATGTTCTTCCCTCTTATTGGCCCATTTGCCCAACCGTGCGCCGTCCGGAAAACGTCACTAAGCCCTAGCGCGGAAAGTACATGAAAGTACTCTACCTGGACCCTCCAAGGCGTGTGCAATGGACTACCCCACACTACCTATATTATATAGGCTTCCATTGGGCACCCCGACAGGAGGGTCCTGGGATGTCACGAGGCTGCATATGAGTTCTGAGCACACCCCCTCAAATTCCAAGACCGTTTTAAACATGGTTGAGCTGGTTCACCAAGTTAAAGTTCCTTGGTAAAAGGTGGTCCTTGGAATCCCACTGCATGTGAACATCATACTTATACCCAGGCACTCCATGTGACTGCCATATATGCCTACATTGACCCCCAAAACCATCCCAACTGATCGGCATATATGACAGACATGGAGTGCCTGGGTATAAGTATGATGTTTCCAGTTCAGTCATCTTGATCCTGTGAGTTTGGGATTGCAGCGATTTCTCCCGATTTCTCCAAAGATTTTCCCCGTTTCAAGGCCATCGCCAGGAGCCCGAAACCGGGCTCCTGGCCAGTCTTCTCCATTTCAGTTTGGTGTTTGGGGTGGGTGCCAGGGCTTAACCACCTGATGGTTGGAGCCCTGTCCGGGACAAAACTCCGCGAAGCTGCCGAGCTACCCACAAGACGCCCAGATGGCCGAGCTACTGGCGAGATCTTCGTCTACGGCTCTCGGAGGAAGACTATCGACTCATCGACCAGGAAGGCGAAGCGGGCGAAGCGACCCCGGCTGCGATCGGTAGGCGTACAGCTACATGTGGCGGTGAAGATGGGTGGGTGTAGAAGACGTACATATGTGTGTGTGTGTGTGTGTGTCGGAACCCAGAGAGGTTAAGTGACCGTAAATAGGACCCTATAGTGGGGTCCCTAGGGGATAGTCTATAGGGTTCTTCAACCTCTGTAGGAATGGTGTAGGATGGTGAAAAAAGCCCGTGTTTTGCGAGGGGGGTACAGTAGATTGCTGGACCATGCTAGACACCGGTGACAGGCACGTGGACAGATGCGCTTGATGCACAAGTGGGCGACGTTCTTGAGGCGGGATCGGGGTTCGCGGTTGGCTGGTCAAACGGAGGCATGAGGGAAAGGATCTATCCCTGGGCCAGGAGAGTTTGGTGAGATATCTAAAATTAGTATATAGTGTAGACATGGACAGACTATCCATGGGTTGGGGTGGATGTTCTTTCTTCGCTTAATTAGCCACACATGTGCATCCCGGCATCCCTAAGCTAGCTGGTGAGTTGAGGTGGTTCCTAGAGGAACATGGAACCTGAACATGGACCAGACTGGACACTCAAAGACCATTTTCCTCATACCAACCCGGTGGTATTGGGGGGGTCCATGTGGTCCTCCGCGTTTCAACCGTTCCATACCTCTCTAGCCTTCTTTTCGACGTTCCGACCCCTTCTTTCCTCTCCGCCGGGTCGGACTTCTCAGGGTGTTCTTCAGTCCGCGCTGGACCATGAGATATCATTCAGTACCAGCACCCGACTCTACAGGTCTCCTCTGATAGTGGCTGAAATGGACTTAAAAGTGGCGGGTGGTGACCTGTAGAGGAGTATAGTGCTGGTATATCATATCATGACATATTGTTCGTGGATCGTCAGCACCAGCTACTTGTTTGGGGGGGGAAGGATTGGAGACACACCACGCAGAGAAGCAAGAATTGAAGCAAGAACAGGTGGAACATCTTGATAACCTTAGATGTTTCCAGGGACGCTGAGGTCAGGATTATAGGAGCTTTCGGAAGGCAGTCAGGCAGACCATCCGGTCTTTGAGACCCCACTGAGTCGTCCATGTTTCTTGTTGATCGCGGAGTTCACGAAACAGCACAACAAAAACCTCGATCGGTCGAAGCTGGAAGTGAACCCAGTGCACGCACGAAACAGTAAAAGATGACGGGGAAGCATAAGATGACGTTCGTTTGGTTCTTGTTTGCTTGTGTTGTTTGACTTTGGTTTATGATCGTTCACGATCAATCTGCCAGCTTCACCCCGGACCGATGGTTTTCCCCGGATCCATTCCGAGGTTTCACCCGGATCATGGCTGATGGATCATGGCCGGTGTCTGCCCGGATTCACCCAGGTGATTCGCCCATCGGATCGGGATACCATGTCCGACGGCCCGTGGTTCGACCGGAGAGGTTCGGTTCGGGTCTGGCTCCAATGAAGAAAGACTATAGAAATCATACAACATTAGACCCGAAGAAGGTGATTTTTGCCGTACCTAAAGCTGAGTTCTTTTAGATTTACACTCTGACGAACACATCACATGGAAGTGGAAAGGATGAAAGTAGTCTTCGCTTACCGGCTCACTTTCCACGTAACCATGTGACGTGTTTGTCGAGTACAGCAGGTGGACCGAGATGTGGGTCGGTCATGACCTGAACCGACCGGCTGGAAGGTCGTTGAGGACTTCGACTCAGGCCCGACGACGGGTGTGACTGGTTTCATGCTAAGCCGTGAGAAGCCCTCTAGGCCTCCAAAAGCCGTGGGATTGTATAGGAAAGAAACCAACATCTTCAGAAACAAACGGAGTTTTGGTTGATGAAGGTGTTTGTTTGATGCAGTTTTTTGGTTGTGGGTTGAGGGTCGCTGGAATCATGAGGTCGTTCAATCTTAAATCCTTTCGGTGCAGACCACTTTGATCAGCCCTGACTCAAATCCAGACTAAGATAGATCGAGCTACAAAAGCCTTCCAACCACTCTCTAGTGGCCAACTGCAGTGATGCTTGAGATTTCTTCCAGGTTTTGCCGTGGATTCCTGGATGGACCTGCAAACCTTCGGGCGCCGGCTCGCCGTGCAGGCGACCAAGAGGCCGTGCGCCTGACGAGGGGCTTACGCGGGATTCTGCACTTTCGCCGCTGGATCCGTGGTGGACGGTTCGGACGGGGCGACGCTGGACCGCGGGTTGGGGTGGGTTGAGTTGCGGCGTTGGTGCGGGGCAAAGGAAGGTTTGCTGGATCATTGGATTGTGCTTAAGATGGTCAGAACTGTTTTTCAGTATCCCGAAATGGGGAGTGCGGCCTTAATCGTCGACCCTCCCAAGACCCCTAGCAACTGCCTCCAGCGAAGATGGTTGGGGTGGGGTTGGGGGCCAAATCACCTTTTGAGGATACGCTTGGAGCTCCACAGGGGACGGTCATCCCCATTTCAGTGCATAGTCCGAACATCGGGAGTATATAAACCTACCTACCGGCTGCACAGGGAGGAGGCCTCGAGTCATCCGAAGGAAGGGGCCGTGTTCCCATCCACGGAACCCTGATGATTTCAAGGAGTGTGCTTCTATTGGTGACCCCTTTGAAGGTGCTGGTAAGTGTATATATGTGTATGTTCCTGTGGTATCCCTGGGGCACAGCCGAGCCGGGCACTCCTCATGTGCTCCCTCTATGGTGATGGAAGAGCTTCTACTTCTACACCACCATGGGCAACATGACTTTTGTTGCTTGCAATCCATGGTGCAGGAGTTGACCCTGGACCTTGGACCTGGGACTTGTTGGACATATCTTTGCACTGAGTGCAGATCATGTGGCGTTAGAGCATTTTTGGACGTGGCATATCCACTTGTCACACTACTTCAGCAGGTTTTAGATCTGATCATTATCATATCTGATCTCATTCTGATCTTTGTCGCCCAGGTGATCGCGACGGCGACGCGATGGTGCGCTTCCCCAGGCGCTGTTCGAGGACGGAGCGATGCGGAGGTGTTGCATGACGTATATAGTGGTGTTTTGTCCCTAAGTGAGTGGATAATGGGCACCCCTAACCTCCTTGGATCGCACCCCGACATGTGACTGCAGGTAGTTTGCACTAAGAAATTCATTGGGGAGAGTACTCAGTTTCATGACCTCCCCACACCCCATCAAACGGCAGGGGGTCATGGATGGTCATGTTATGAATTGAACATGAAGTGAAGGAAAAGCGGCGGTGAAGAGAAGTATTAATATTATCCAGGCACTCCATTTATGCCATATATGCCTACATTGACCCCCAAAACCACCCCAATGTAGGCATATAACAGACATGGAGTGTCTGGGTTATATTACCCTAGAGATACAGCCGTATCTTCTCAGAAGGTACGACTGGACCCGACCCAGGCACCTACATAACAGTGTCGAACACATCACCGTACCTGAGAAGCTACGACTGGATCCCTAGGGCTGGTTGACCTCGATTCCTCAAACCCACCAGGAACATATATTATATGAACCCGCCAGGCTTTGATGCTCCAGGTGGTTTTCACCCGACTCCGGCAGGCTTGATGCCGAGTCTGTGGACCGCTTCGTGTTCGAGGAGGATGTCCGCTGTTCGATGCCACTGGGCACGGATGACGTTGAGACAGAGAGAGGTCAGAGGTCCCTTTGCCCTGTTTTAGAGGTTTTGGCTTCTACAGGGAGGCCCTTCCACAAGAAGACATGTTTGGATTCTGGATGGCCTGACTGAACGCAGGGGGGGGGTTCCTGTAGACTAAGAGGTGGACTGTATAGGCAAATCCTAGCTACACTCTGACGAACACGTCACATGGAAGTGGAGAATGGCCCCGTAAGGAAGACGATCTTCCTCTAGAAACAGGCAGGTTGCTACTTCCATGTGATGTGTTCGTCCGAGTGTGCTGAATCAACACTCCCTGAAAACATTCCCCCGGAGACTCCGCGACTCCGCAGCGTCCGTTGACTCCGCTGCTCATGGGCCGATTGTGGACCATGCAAAGGATTTGAAGGATGATGAAGGATGTATCCTCATGACAAAACGTAGGGACCGATGTGCAGTGTATAGAATATACATATACAGTCTCTCTCTCTCGTAGTCTCGAGTCGATTGGTGATTGTTTGGCCTCACAGACATGTTCAAAAGCGATGCACTCTTCGATTTGAATTGAGAACCGGCTCGAATGTCTTGAACTATATCCGGAGCCTTTCCACTAGAGCAAGATGTGATGAAACAAGCTTCGGATCAGAACCACAACGATCTGGGGTTCTTTGTGCTGCACCCTCATGCCGTTTGGCTGCCCTGAGCTACTGCTGCATCCTCAGGCGGAAGCGAGTCGCGCAGCAACAGCCAGCGGCCAAAAAAGGAGCCGAGCGTTTGCTGCGTGCACTGGAAAGCGAAAGCGGTTTCAGTCGAAATCACTGAGCCTGCAGATGAACAGGGGCCTTGAAAATCACTGTCGTCGAGGGAACCTTTCAGAAATCAAAGGGATGGAAGCAAAAGCAGCACGGTGCGAAGCCAGCAGTTTCTGCCTTCGGAGCAGCTGAGTGCTCAGCAGAGCCCCAACGAACCACCACACGCTTTCCGGAGGCTTTTGAGGCTTTGTCCATATGTATGTGGTAGTTTTGTTTGGAGGTATGAAGAGACCCACATGGAACCTAGCACAACACCTGCCAGGTTCTGAAGTCCTTCAAGCCAAAGCTAACTAGCTACTCTGAAGCTAATCTTTTCTGCTAGCACAAAAAACTGGTGGAAGCCACACAAATAGTCAATTGGTCTTCTTCAGGTTCCATGTGGGCCTCTTCCCGGGTGTATATATCCTGGAAATGAACCGAACGCACATGTTTGGTTTGGACCATTTTGGCACATGAATTGACGATTTCATCACTTATGTGTCATGATGTTATGTAGCGTAGCTTATTCTGGTCATTGCAAATGTCGATATTTCCTCAAAAGGCGCCTAAAAAGTGCCCATTATAAGCGTTTGACACTTGGAAGTCCATGTTCATGTGAAATTCAATGTTACCTTGTTTTGCGTAAGGTACTTTGTTTTATTTTCCATAAATGGTTAAATCCCCCAAACCTGGTGAATATGTTGCTTTCTGCAGGTTCCTTAAGCAATCCAATGTTGCTTTGGGAAAACACTCAAGTGACCTCTCAAATAGGACGCAATTGGACGGTCGAGCTACTTGGATTGAGGTACACAGGCAGCAACCGGCAGCTTCCACCTTCAGCACCTAAGGAGCAACCGAAAAGAGACGGGGGGAGAGAGAGGGACAGAGACGGAGAGGGAGATGGTGCAAAGCGTGGCATGTTGTTCATGGGAAATTCATGAGCGTGAGGCGACAGAGGAGCATGGGTATATATACACTAGTATATATAGAAGCAGTTGTTCTTTGAGACTTAGAGCTTAGAGAAGGAAGTAGAGAAGGAATATTCTGGAATGGCTTACGAGGAACTTAGTCCAGAAGCCACCAGGACTGATCAGGTTCTGTGACTCGACAAGGCCACCGGAACCCGGGACACTCACATGATTGGATTCGGAGGACCAATGGCAGCATCCTCAAGGTTCGATATGGACCCCTATCCCAGACACTCCATGGGACTGGCATATTGACATCCATTGATTCCTTTTCAACCACCCCAACTGCTCGGTAAATATAACAGTCCCATGGAGTGTTTAGGTATTATACAAGATATCTTGGGGGGGTTGTGCCATCGAGTCTCTGAAGACCACTGCAATTGGAGCACCGGCCAGATTGTGCCATCTACTCCTGAAACCACTGTAAACCCCGCTGTCTAGGAATCCCAGCTCGAACATAAAGAGTCCCTGCTTGGCCCTGCGAATGTGGACGGCTGTCCCGGCAAAGCTACAACAGTCGGGGAACAAGAACATCACTATTTTTGAGAAAGGCCTGCAAGATAATCGCCCGAGGGAATGGGATAGACCCAAATGCAAATGCTGACGGTTCATGTTGGGCTTATCCCATTAGCAGGATCCGAGTGGATAATGATGGCTAGACTAGATCGCAGCCCGTTCTCAAGAATAGTGACAATCTTCTTGACTGTTACATGTCATGGGACACACTCCACATCAAACCCCCACAAAAAGAACACTTACTCATGGTCTCGGGACCCAGGGAGAGTACAGGTCTTGGGACACACCCAAAAACGCACCCCAAAGGCCGTTTGTCCACCCAGCGCTGGACCCGTTGGTCGCGGGCCGTCGAGGAGGTCGAGTCTTCGGTGACGGTCGACATGCCGCTTCCCTCTGAGCAGCGAGTGGTTTGCTTTGGGGAGAAGGGTCAAACTCCAAAAGCTGCGAAAAGGGTCGTGTTTTTTTTTCACAATTTCAGCTAAAAGCTTCTATGTTGCCTCATTCAGCAACATCACATGGATGTACAACACGTTGTTGTTTTGCTGCGTTTAGGTTTGTGTTAGGTAATAAGTGTCCTATCTATTATGTAGTGCAAAAGGGTACTATCTTTATTTGTATATAGTAGTGGATGCCCCAATTATAGATGTAGTACTATACCTATACCGTACCTGTTTGTGGGCAGAATGTGGGGCCAAGGTATAGTGAACACTATGAGTCCACGGGGCAGCACCAGTCAGTCCGCTATATAGTATATGTTATTTGTGTTCCTTTGTGAACAATGAAGGTTCCACATATGCCAAGACCCTGTGCTTCTTGTTTGGGCCGCTGTACTGTAAGGAAAGGCATATGCCAGAGTTGCTTAAATACCTTGTTTGGCCTGGCGCGCATTGCTCTCATGAAAGCACAGTCCAGCATGCCCGGTGTTCGATCACATTTGGAAGAGGCCTTCCGGCAGAAACCAGCTTGTGTCTAGGGTTAGCTGCGGTTCGCTGGCCTTCTACGACTCAGGCTCCGGCTCCACTAGTGAACCCACTCGGTCGGGGGGGGAAGAACCTGATAACGTCGCATTTGTCGCCCGACCTGCGGTCGTGAGAGTCTTTTAGACTTTATGAAAGGTGCAAACTCCGTCTTTCCTTTCCTTTCCTCTCCTGTCCTTGCCTTTTCCTTCCTTTCCTTCCCTATCTTCTATCATGTCATTGACCGGTTTTTTATTTCTCCTTCGCCTGTGTGCTCAAGGAAAGGCTTTCAGCCAGGGTCCTTCGCAAGTCGTTGGGTCCTTCGTGTTTGGGTCATCGCAGCCATGATGTCAGTGCATTGGGGCGCCTTGCTTGCTGGTATGTCTTTGGTCTCCTCCCTCAACCCAGAGGACTGGCACCCTGTAGACTTTGATTGTTTGATTACGGTATGTTTATTTTCCTATTTTGGTGGTGGACTGCACCATTGTGTCACATCAAAAGGACGGATTGGCCGTTTTGTAGCCAAGCCGCTGATAGTATTTCATGGGAATTCGTTGATTCGCCACAATTGAAGGACCTTGTCTTTAACTTTCTCCAAAAGCTTGGCATGCCAGAGAGGCGGGCCGAGGAAATCGCCAAAGACCCATGCAGCAACTGGCCCTTTGTGGAATGCAATGGACATGGCACAATCATTTCAATAAGCCTGCGACGAGAAAAGCTGAGTGGCCAAATCCCAGAGCAAGTCAGCCTATTCCAGTCCCTGCAATATCTAGACCTTGCCCAAAACCAGCTGAGTGGCGAAATCCCCAAGGAACTCAGCCAGCTCCAGTCACTGCAGATGCTATTCCTTGCTCAAAACAACCTGAGCGGTGAAATACCTAAAGAGCTCAGCCTGCTCCAATCCCTCACTGAGCTACACCTTGACCAAAACCAACTGAGTGGCAAAATCCCCAAGGAGCTTGGCCAGCTCCAATCACTGCAAACGCTATCTCTTGCTCAAAACCCTCTGAATGGTGAAATCCCCAACGAGCTCAGCCGGCTGCATTCGCTGCGGTGCCTATACCTTGCCCAAAACCAGTTGAGTGGCAAAATCCCCAAGGAACTCAGCCAGCTCCAGTCACTGCAGGACCTACACCTTGCCCAAAACCAGCTGAGTGGCGAAGTCCCCAAAGAGCTTGGCCAGCTCCAGTCGCTGCAGGATCTAGACCTTGCCCAAAACCAGTTGAGTGGCGAAATCCCCAAAGAACTTGGCCAGCCCCAGTCGCTGAAATACATGATCCTTCATCAAAATCGGCTGAATGGCAAAATTCCAACGGAGCTCGGCCAGCTCCAGTCATTACAGCGCTTACAACTTGCACAGAACCAGCTGAGCGGCGAAATCCCCAAGGAGCTCAGCCAGCTCCAGTCACTGCAGTACCTTCACCTGGCCCAAAACAACCTGAGCGGCGAAATCCCCAAGGAGCTCGGCCAGCTCCCCCTCACTGAGCTACACCTTGACCAAAACTACCTAAGTGGCGCAATCCCCAAAGAGCTCGGCCAACTCCAGTACCTTACTGACCTACACCTGGACCAAAACCAGTTGAGTGGCCAAATCCCCAAGGAAGTTGGCCAGTTCTTGTCACTGCAGATGCTGTCCCTTGCTCGAAACCAGCTGAGTGGTGAAATCCCCAAGGAGCTCAGCGAGCTGCCCTCGTTGGAGGTACTGCACCTTGACCGCAACCAACTGCAGGGCGATTTGAAGGAGATTGCATTCAACAACGCCAACCTGAAGAGTCTTGACCTCAGTTTCAATCTGTTGAGTGGAGAGCTGGGTATGGGCTTGCCCCTCACTGAGCTTGAAGAGCTCGATTTGAGCCACAACCAGCTTGTCGGAGACATTATGACATTCATCGAACCTTTCTGCCGTAAGAACCCTGCCGGGATGTCATTGCAGCAGCTGCGGTTAAACCACAACAAGCTCAGCGGTGAGTTGCCTCCATGTTTGATGCAGCTTAAGAATTTGCAGCTCCTGGCTCTGAACAACAATTACTTCTCGGGAGCCATTCCAGAAGTCCAGGCACCCGAGCTGGTGGTGTTGGCTCTTCACAAAAATGCCTTCACAGGCCATTTACCAAAGGGGCTGGAAGAATTGAAGCATTTGGGAGTTTTCACCGTGCACGAGAACATGCTTGTGGGTACAATTCCCCAGTTGACCCTCACCACCCTGTGCATTGACAACGCGCGATTCAACATCCATTGGGCCACTTGCCGCCTTTTGAGCAAATCGTACAAGGGATGCTACAATCCAGACCTCATCATCGACCTCCGTGCGGCTCGCTTTCAGCAAGTGGTCAAAAACTGCCCCAGATGGTGCGATGCTTGCCCAAACGGGACCGCCAACATTACGCTTCACAGGAATCGCCTGTCAGGCAACATCCCGAGCAGCATCAGCAGAACTGACGTGTTAGGTTTGTGCATCATGGGCAACATGCTTGGGAACGGGCGAGAAGTCAACTCATCATGGATACTGACTGAAGAGAAGCAGCCATTCCTCTACTATTCGCCGAAAGTGTGGAACTCACACACTCAGCTGTTGGGTGACATGGACTTGCTCAACGTGTTTTTTTGGTAGTTCTATCAAAGAATTGACTGATAACCCCTTTTGCTCAATGTGTTGCTTTTTGGATTCCACTAATAAGCCAATGGATTTCCCTTTCACTTGACAGACATGGCTTTGCCCAGTTCCTTAATCTATATCCCCAGGTGGTATGTACATCTTGTTCTTCGGCATGGCAGTTTTCAGCTGGCCACTTCGCCAAAAGTTCCTCCAGACATTTCGCAGCTTATGCATAGGGCAGGCAGCTCTGGTGGTGGCTTCCAATGTGGTGGTGTGACTTGGAAGATGACTGGGTGTTGTTGTTTCTTTGCCACGCCAGCACTGGGATATGACATTTGTTGTTAGAGTCTGTGTGCCGTCCGCTCTTAAACGAAAACCTTCACTTTTGCCTTGAACAAACATGTCCAAAGCACATCGAAAGGTTGAAAGCCGCGGGCACGGCGCTTGCATTGGCGTGCCCGCTCTTACTCTTCTGTTGGCGCAAGGCTCGCTACTATGCCTCTGCACCACCTTTGTGGAACGTCACTGCTGCCAACTTCGAAGCAGATCAAGGGGTGGATTCGGTGATAGTCGCCTGTTGGTGCGCGATGGCGCTTCTTTTTCGCACGGTGGTTGCAAGTATGCCCAAGACTCCATTTTTGCATGCCCCTTCTGTAAAAGCGCGACTTCAGCGACTTGGAAGAGTTGTGGCTTGGGTTTGTTGGTTTGGCATTGTCTTCATTTTTTCATTGCCATCCATTCTCTTTGCTTTCTCCCAATCTTTGCCCGCACACAACTCACTTCCGGTGAGTGATCTTGTCTTGCAATGGTTCAACAGTCTTGCCCCTTACCTGAATGTGCTCATTGACATGGTGCTCTCAGCTCCAGTCTCGGCCAAGTATGCAGCAATCACAGGAATCAAAGCAGATCGTCTACTTATGACTTTTCGTCTCTTTTCAGCTTGGCTCTTAGCGCTGCTTACCACAGTTGTATTGGATGAGAACTGCTTATCAGGCTGGAAATGGACTTGGACTGTGTGCCAAGTAGGGTCATCGAACCACCAGAACTTCAACTGGGAAGTCTTTGGCGAGGAGATTTTGAACACTGACAAAGACATTTGTGGGTCGAGTGATAGCTGGTGGTCAGATGGCAGGTGTAGCCGGGCCATCGTAGGAAACTTGACGCCCTTCCTTCTCAAAAAACTCATGGTTCGAGCGACGGTCCAACCCTTGATGCTATTGATCCTGTGGCACTGCTCAAAGCTGGAGATGGCAAGAGACGACTTCCAGGGAAGACATTTGAAGCTTTTCGGTCGGTGGCCAAAGATGACCGGCTCGCTGGTACCTTTGCAGCAACTGTCGTTGCTGACCACGCTAGTGGATGCTTTGTTGCAAAAGGTGCATTGTCACATTACTGTTGACTTGGGGAAGACAACCCTTTTTTGATCTCATTCACACTGAATAATATATGCAACATGCCAGAGTTGGAATCGATTGAAATTTGCACACTTACAATTTCAATGAAATTCAGTGGTTTGTTGACATGTTTGTTTTGGCGTTCAAGAAGGGAAGCACAGGGCCACAAGGGCCATTATGGACCTGTGTTGCAAACATATGCTGTAATGAAACATGTTGATGTTCTAGTCTAAGTTAGCCAAGGAAATGTTAATCTTTTGGACTCCGGTGGTTCCCCTACTGGGCTTCGCAATCCTTGCAACGGCTCTGGCCAATCTCTTCATGTTCAATGCTGGCCTGTGGAACTTCCGAGTTATTTTACCGACGGATGAGATGAACAGAGGAGCTTCCATATCGACGTCATATCTGCAATTTGCTCTTTGGTCCGGCTCCTTCTTTCAGATATGGTACGCCTTCGGCACCAAGTTGTTTGGTCGATATGCACTGCTGGCAGTTCACGTCACCATCATGGGGCCATGGGCCAAGCACTTTCTGCCTGTGGACCTGGCCAGACGCCACTTCTGGACGGAGCATCAAACTGCCAGTGATGTTCAGGTAATCGAGATGGCCGTTCAGTTCGAACCAAGTGCGTCATGATGCCAAATGTGTCAGGAGAAAAGCGCCACGGGGTTGTGTGTTGCTTGCATGTTGGATGTTTCTCACTTCACCACCTGCGCTGCCGAGCTGCCGGGCTGGCCGATCGGATTGGGTGATTTCGGTAGCTCCGGCCGGTACCGGTGGACACTCCCATTCGGTGGCAGCAGACGAACGAGAGGTTGCTCCGACCCTCGGAACCCCCGGGAGCTGCTCCTTTGCTCCTTTGCTCCGAGCGACGAGCGGTTTCCGGGATCGACAGCAAGGATCGGGACCGGGTCCTTTGGTTTGGGGTTCCGACCGAAGATGTCTAACCCAAACCCACAACCAGCAGCGCCGGTTGATAGGCCCTTCCGTGACTGGGGACCTTCGGGCGGTCTCAGGGTCTGAGCCATATCAAGAAGCCTAAGAATCCTTGGGCTCTCCATGGCAGGGGTCGGACCCTCCATAGCAGGGGTCCGGACCCTCAAAACCCTATGTGTTTGAGGGCCCGGATTCTTAGGGAAGCAAAGATATCACAGACCAGCACCCGACTCTACAGGTCGAAAAACCGTCGCGACTTGGAAAAAACACCTGCAAAAGCCCACCCACCCACCAATTCGGAGGCCTGTAGAGTCGGAGTCGGGTCCTAGGAGATGCCCGCATCCACAGATCCGACCCCCGACCTGTACCTCTTGGAACCGGCCACGCGCCGCCCGGCCTCAGGTTGGTCCAGACCGGCAGCGAGGTCGAATCGAAGGCGGCGGAGCTGCTGAAGCCTCCCTTGACATGGGGGGGTACCACCGTCTTCTTTTTCCCCACCTGTCAGGTGAGGGTTGTTAGATGTTACGTCGTCTTCTTTGTTTTTTGTGGCCCACTTCGTGAAGAACATGGAGTATGGAGAAGGAACCCGACGATCTCCAACGCAAGTTCACACCTTTGCCTTTTGAAAAAATCACTGTGCGTCGCACTGTGCTTCCCGTAGGCCCCTGGAGGCAATGTTAGTTCGGTTTGCCTTGCGCTTAGCAATGCTTAGCACCATTATGCAAAAAACAGCAGAAACCGATGTTTTACAGGGAAATGATGCACCGGATCTAGAGAACAATGAGGACACTTGTATCAACATGTAACAAATCAGGCCTTCAGTAGAAATACAGGAACCTACAGCATTCACAGGGTCTATTTTCTGTGTGTTTGGTAGGCCCGGTAGGCCACATCCATGCAGGAAATCCAGAGTCGACACCCTTGGCGTGTGACTTGACGGATGACTTGGTGTGTGACGGATCCCGAACTCTGCTGGGGTATATGGATCGATCCGTAATTACTGGAAGGGATCCGTTCTCGTACCGAACCGACCAGTAGATACGACTGGACCCGAGGTGACTGGGCAGCGTCTCATGTCTCAGTGTCGAACACATCACAGGAAACCTGAGAAGGTACTTGGATTTTTAGCTCCAATCACCACCTGAGAAGGTACGACTGGATCCCCAAAAGGGGTATAGACGAAGGGGTTCCCCTTCAGAGATGTCTGTGGCGTCCCGGCAGCCAGGACGAGACGCACAGCGTGAGCACTGGTAGTTGGTACTGCTAGACGTTTGATCGGTGTGGGCGATGGGTGTTGAAGCGACCGGAGAAATCTGCTGGTCTTTGGTGGTGATCACCACATGAACCTCATGGAACCTGATATTACATCAGATGGAACTGATACATATTGCAATGGCCTCCAACCTGAGATATATTCTACACCCTGGTGTCCACGATCCCATGGAACCGAAAAAAAACCCCTGGTTGGTAGAGGAACATCCTCTTCCGGACCACGTTGTTGGATCTATATATCCCAGACTATGCCTACATTGAGCCCAAAACCACCCCTGGCCTGATCGGCACATATGGCAGTCCCATGTGTCGTGTTTGGGTATGTTAGTTGACTTGGGAGTGTAAGACGGGTCAATTCATCGCCTGCCAGACCACACTCGACCGCCTCTCTGCGTCAGATCGCCACGCCCGGTGTGGCGTGGTGTGGCTGCCGCGCCGCTTGGGACTGTGAGCCGCGGATGGGCGGGAGAGGGTGGAGAGGGGGCACCGCGGATGGGGAAACTGGTCATCGCTTAGAGTTGAAGGTTTAGTAATGACGTCGTGATGACATGATGTGTAGATAGTGAAGCAGCAATGAATGTTTCCGAGTTTCGAGTTTGGGAACCGGTGGTGTCTAGCCAGATTGATGGAAAACCCCCTGCAGCTGTCAGCCACCTCATGCTTCTCCATGCGAGAATTCTGATTCCACCCACGCAGTTTGGAGGAAGACATTGGTTGGGATTGAAAAGAAGACAAACCGAAAGTGATCCCAAGAGGGCTTGAAGGGGTGGAGGTTCCTTTTCGAAACCGTTTTCCATGCCGCAACTATCGGACCATTGCCGGAGAGACTGACTCATCAAAGGGGGAAAAAATGATTCCCTGCGTCAGCCGTTGGTGGGAAGGATGAGGAGGAAAAATTGATAAAGACGGTGTACTTTATTCACTGGAACGATCAGCGGCATGTTTTTCCTTGCTGGGCGATGGTGGGCGAACGGAGATGATCCCTGACTGACTTGGAGTCGTGGATGTATTTTACCAGTATATGATATGTGCGTCAAATGAGGCACTGACCAACACTCCTTAGGCTATGTCACATGTCGCACATACCAGTATATGGGAAGCATCGGTTCCCTTCGTTGCTGGGAAATCAGAAATCCCACACCACCCGCCGGGCATCCCAGCATCATATCCCACCGGATGATCCTCTTCCATGTTTGGAGTGCTGAAACAGGCTGAAAACTCTGGTCGATTTGAGGGCGACAACGTACACACTGGGAACCGAACCAACGGCAGATGCTAAGACCGACTTGGCGCACACGGAGCCTAGGGGGCTCGTCATTTGATCCGACTTGGCTGGAGGGAATGAGAAACGAGCCACGAGTGGCACCAGCCCTTTCGCAGGTGAAGTCGGTGCCTTGTTTGCCATGTCACTGCGTTGGGGCGTGTGGTTTGCTTGCATGTTTGTGGCCTCTAGCAACCAACAGGACCGGTGTGCAAGATTGTGCAAGCATATTTGCTGTATTCATTTCATCAAGGTGGTTTTCTATAACCTGACACGGGCGTGTTGGGCAGCACCCGTGTGTCACATCAAAAAGCCTTTCGTAGCTTTGCCCTTTGTATTCTGGAGCCAGTCTTTGTCATGTTTGCAGGACGTCATCCTCGAGATCCTCCAAAAACTTGGCATGCCAAAGAGGCAGGCCGAGGAAAAGGTCAAAGACACATGCAAATCGCCAAATTTGGGATGCAATGGCAACGGCACAATCAAGGTAATAAGCCTTGTCCGAGAAGAGCTGTGTGGCAAGATTCCCAAGGAGCTCAGTAAGCTCCAGTCACTGGAGACCTTGGAACTTGGACAGAACCAGCTGAGTGGCGAAATCCCCAAGGAGCTTAGCCAGCTCAGGTCACTCAGAGGCTTACACCTTAACCAAAACCAGCTGAGTGGCGAAATCCCCGAGGAGCTCAGAGAGCTCCAGTCACTGCATACTCTAGACCTTGAACACAACTTGCTGAGTGGCAAAATCCCCAAGGGGCTTAGCCAGCTCAAGTCACTTAAAGGTTTACACCTTAGCCAAACCAGCTGAGTGGTGAAATCCCCAAGGAACTTGGCCAGCTCGACTCCCTGTGGAATCTAAACTTTGCCCAAAACCAGCTGAGTGGCGAAATACCCAAGGAGCTTGGCCAGCTCCAGTCGCTAGAGACACTATCCCTTGCCCACAACCAGCTCCATGGTGGAATCCCCGAGGAACTCAGCCAGCTCAACTCCCTGTGGAACCTAGACCTTGCACAAAACCAGCTGAGTGGTGAGATCCCCAAAGAACTCAGCAAGCTCCATTCACTGCACAAGCTATCCCTTGCTCAAAACCAGCTGAGGGGCAAAGTGCCCAATGAGCTTAGCCAGCTGAAATTACTGAGAAGCCTACACCTTGACCAAAACCAGCTGAGTGGTGAAATTCCCCAGGAGCTTAGCCAGCTCCAGTCACTACACACGCTATCCATTGCTCAAAACCTGCTGAGTGGTGAAATCCCCAAGGAGCTCAGCCAGCTCCAGTCACTGCAGGTGCTGCACCTGTCCCGAAACCAACTCCAGAGCGATTTGAAGGAGATTGCTATCAACAACACCAACCTGAAGAGCCTTGACCTGAGCTTTAATCTACTGAGTGGAGAGCTGGTGATGGGCTTGCCCCCAACTGAGCTTGAAGAGCTCGATTTGAGCCACAACCAGCTCGTTGGAGGCCTTTGGAAGCTCATCGAGCCTTTCTGCCGTGGGAGCCCTGCCGAGATGTCAGTGCAGCAGCTGCGTTTAAACCACAACAAGCTCAGCGGTGAGCTACCTCCATGTTTGATGCAGCTTAAGAATTTGCAGCTCCTGGCTCTGAACAACAATTACTTCTCGGGAGCCATTCCAGAAGTCCAGGCACCCGAGCTGGTGGTGTTGGCTCTTCATAAGAATGCCTTCACAGGCCTTTTGCCAAAGGGGTTGGAAGACTCGGAGCGTTTGGGAGTCTTGACGGTCCATGAGAACATGCTTGTGGGTGCCATTCCGCCATTGAGCCTGACCACCCCGTGCATCGACAACTCGCGGTTCAGTATTCGAGGCTTGAGTTGCAGCTTTCTAGGCAGCAACTTTGCATGCCACGAGCCATCTCTGCGGGGTCTTGGGCCTGATGGCTTTCGGCAAGTGGTAAACTGCCCCCGATGGTGCGATGCTTGCCCAAACGGAACGGCCAACATTACGCTTCACAGGAATCACCTGTCAGGCAAAATCCCAAGTAGCATCAGCAGAACTGGCGTTTTAGGCCTGTGCATCATGGGGAACATGCTCGGAAAAGGGCGAGAAATCAACTCATCATGGATACTGCCTGAAGAGAAGCAGCCTTTCCTCTACTATTCGCCGAAAGTGTGGAACTCTCACACTCAGTTGTTGGGTGGCGTGGACTTGCTCAACGTGGTTTTTGTTGTTTTCTTATACTTTTGTATTATTTTGCAAGTTCCATCAATGAATCGCCTTTTGCTTGACTGTCGTCATAGCATGTTTGTTTTGCCCAGCTCCCTGATTCGCAACTGTTAGGTGGTATGTACGTTTTGTTCTTTGGCATGACAGTTTTCAGCTGGCCACTTTGCCAAAAGTTCCTCCAGACATGTCGCAGCTTGCATGTAGGGCAGGCAGCATTGGTGGTGGCTTCCAATGTGGCAGTGTGACCTGGAAGATGCCAAGGGATAGTTTCTTTTGTGTTTCAATTGGTTGCTTTATGCTAGATTCTAGATCCATCTATAGATCCCTATATTTCGATCATCCCACCCCCACTTAAACCAGACACATCATTGGCCAAAGTACGAGCACCCGGTTTTGAGCCGGCGTCTTCACTCCCAGACTTTCGGAACGGGGAACGGGTTGGACGCATGGCCCCAGAGTTCGGAGGACGACCTCTACCGAGTTCGGAGGGTGTTCCACTTCTGTGTTTCAGGGAGGACCCTGGGAGTCAAATAAGACTATAAAAAGAATGGTCTGACGAACGGGGACCTGATTTCGGGAACTTCCTGAACACTTCAGCCGGTCAAAATATAGTCGAACTGGACTTCTAGGGTAGACAGTGTAGATTTTTGTTGTTCAATTGGTTGTTTCATGCTAGATCCCTCTCTCTCTCTCTCTATATGTACATATAACATGTTGATCGACCCCCGACTTAAACAAGACACACCGACACATTTCGGCCACTCCCAGGCTGAAAGCCGCGGGGAGCGCTTTTGTATTGGCAGGCCCACTCTTGATTTTCTTTTGGCGATCCGCTCATTACTATGCCACTGCACCACCCTTGTGGAACATAACTGCTGCCAACTTTGAAGCTGACCCTGGGGTGGGCTCCATTATTATCTCCTGTTGGTGTGCGATGGCACTCCTTTTTCGCACCGTGGTTGCAAGTATGCCGAAGACTGCACCTTTACATGCCCCTTCAGTCAAGGCACGCCTTCAGGAGAGACTTCGAAGAGTTGTGGCTTGGGTTTGCTGGTGTGGCATTGTCTCCATATTTTCATTGCCATCCATTCTTTTTGCTTTCTCCCAATCTTTGCCTGCACACAACTCACTTCCGGTGAGTGATTTTGTCTTGCAATCGTTCAACAGTCTTGCCCCTTACCTGAATGTGCTCATTGACATGGTGCTCTCAGCTCCGGTCTCGGCCAAGTATGCAGCAATCACTGGCATTAAAGCGGATCGTCTACTTATGACTTTTCGTCTCTTTTCAGCTTGGCTCCTGGCGCTGCTTACCACAGTTGTATTGGATGAAAACTGCTTATCAGGCTGGAAATGGGCTTGGACTGTGTGCCAAGTAGGATCCCCGAACCACCAGAATTTCAACTGGGAAGTCTGGGGCGAAGAAATATTGAATACAGACAGAGACATTTGTGCATCTAGTGATGGCTGGTGGTCAGATGGCAGGTGTAGCCGGGCCATCGTAGGGAACTTGACGCCCTTCCTTCTCAAAAAGCTCATGGTTCGAGCGACGGTCCAACCTTTGATGCTATTGATTTTGTGGCACTGCTCAAAGCTGGATATGACAAGAGACGACTTGCAGGGAAGACATTTGAAGTTTTTTGGTCGGTGGCCAAAGATGACCGGCTCGCTGGTACCTTTGCAGCAACTGTCATTGTTGACCACACAAGTGGAAGCTTTCTCGCAAAGGGTGCAGCAGCATGTTTGTTTCCTTTTGGTCGCGTGCGAAGAACATTAAAGGTAAAGGGCTGTATATGGACTGACCATGACTGACCGATGCTTCCTACGGTTTGCCACATCGGTTTAACGGTTCAATCTTGCCAAGGAAATGTTGATTTTTTGGACTCCATTTGTTCCCCTACTGGGCTTCGCGATCCTTGCAGCAGCTCTGGCAAATCTCTTCATGTTCGATGCTGGCCTGTGGAACTTCCAAGTCACTCTGCCGACGGATGAAATGAACAGAGGAGCTGCCATATCGACGTCGTATCTGCAATTTGCTCTTTGGTCCGGCTCCTTCTTTCAGATATGGTATGCTTTTGGCACCAAGTTGTTCGGTCGACATGCACTGCTGGCAGTTCACGTCACCATCATGGGGCCATGGGCAAAGCACTTTCTGCCCGTTGACCTGGCCAAACGTCACTTCTGGAGGGAGCATCAAACTGCCAGTGATGTTCAGGTGATCGAGATGGCTGTTCAGTTTGACCAGGAACCAAATGCATCATGATGCCAATTTCAGGCGAAAAAGCATGCAGCGATGAGTTTGCGTTTGAGACGTGAAACAGAGGGAGGACGATTTTTACCGACCATCCTTCAAAATCCAAAGGCGAAAGTCGGGGTCATCATCCCAAACGATAGAGATCTAGGGAGGCATCATCTTACGATATCCCATGGCAACTGCAGTATAGTAAGCAGTAAGCAAAATTAGATGAGGGTTCTTTCAGTTCAGGTATCTTCTCCACCACGGTCTGCCGGTCGTTCTGAGCCGGGGCCTCTCAGCCGAAAGACAGCAGAGACCTCTCAGGTTCTTCCCACGCGATCGACCAAGGCGAGAACGGAACGGGAGAAAGCCGAGAAATCGGATCGGATCTGGGAGCGACCTGATGAGAAAGAGAGTAGGATGAGACCCCATCACTCACGGCACATCTGAGGCGAACACATTTGGTTGCAGTGCCTGAGATTCACCCATTCCGGGCTTGCCTTCAGACACCCAGCTTCCTTCCGGTCACCTGGTGGGTCAGTCGTTTTAAGGAGCGAAAGGCTTGCGGCACAGCAGCACAGTGCAGTTCCTGGTTGTTTTGCCAGTGAGGTTTAGTCATTGGTCCAAGGAGAGAGAAAAGGTTTGGAGCACGTAGAATAAGACATCGAAAAACAGCTGGTTCCAACCTCCAACGGTGGGAAAATATACATTGCCAAAGACCAAGCCAGTTGCTCACTGCATGCATTCTTACTCCTTTGTCATCTCTTTTCAAAAAGGTTCGCTCTTCGCGCTTTGACTTCCTGTGCAGGAAGCGTTTCCTGTGCAGGAGATTCCCATTCCAAGCGGGGGCTCATTCATTGCAGAGGTCACACACCTCGAGACATATGCTCGAAAACCCCCCGACACGCCGGATATCCTCTCGAACGACAGAACCCCAAGTGTGCTAATTGGCTCAAGAGAGCATTACGGAGAGCCTGGTTTTGCTTAGTAGCTTTTGTTTTCCCTATCGGTGAATCCCCTTCCCGGAAATATTTGTTCTCCCTGGCTCCTTAAGCCTTAAGCAAATCCCAGAGAGTCTTCTTGTACTCGTCTACTGGCTGAGTGAACTTCCCACATGACGGCGGGTAGCTCGACCATGACGGTCAACGCACCAGGGTTGGATCCTCTTCTTGCGGGATGAGCGCAGGCTGGAGCAGTGAGTGTTTTGATCGGGATGTTCATTGGTGGCGTGGAGGGTGATCGGTGTTGAAACGACAACAAATTTGGTGGTGATCACCCCTATGAACCTCATCCGGATGGCATCTTTGCAAGCGTTTGTTTTTGGAATGCTGGTGAGCATTTAGCAGCAAAGAAGCTATAGTCAGCTAGTCCCCGTAGAATTTTCAGCCAAAGAGGCCGATTGTTGGTGTGTCAACCACTTTTGCATTGTCAGACCTTCCTTCCAATTCCTTCCGAAATCGGATTCACGCTCGCTCGACGCGATCGCGGCGATGGGGAGAGCGAACTTCGGATGAAGGTTCAATCGCTGAGCTCGTCGTGATGACATGAATATAGTGACTTCTACAGTGCAGTGAAAGCCACGTGGTTGAGATGTCAGGTGCAGGTGTTCTAGAATTGGCTTGATGAGAGTGACAGGTGCGGCTGGGTGCCCTAAGTGTTGAGGGATCCACCATCCACCGCTTAGACATAGGCTCAATGTGAAGCAGTGGGTATGATACTTGGACCGAAATCCAATGGAGTCCACTGTGTTCGGCTCTCAAGCAATCAGGAGGTGCTTTCATCAAGCAAGTTTCACCATCTTTCACCACATTTTTTGAGGGAGACGGGTTTGGGGGTCTGAAAACCTGTGACTGTTCTGGTTCGGCTCAGACATGTGTCAGTTCGGGGGGGGCTCACAAGCCCCTTTTCAACGTGTCGTGACTTCAGCACACACAAAAAACTCGGAAGCCTGTTCGGAGTGTAGAGCCAGCCGAGGAAGAGACGTGGTCTCGGAGACAGCGGAGAGGCCGTGGTGAGGCTTGAGAGGGAGAGCATGGGCAGAGCATTTGATGTGTGAGCCCAGGGTGGTCCAATAGTGCAAGGGTCCTTGTAGATGACCGGCACTGGGGCAGAAGAGTCGGCATAGCAAAAATGATACTGCCAACATGTGAGTTAGAATGAGACATCCAAGGTATAGTCTAGTGGATCTGTTACATGGGAAAGGACCAGCAGCAGAGTTGGCATAGCACCCTCATTGCTGCAGGAAACCACCGTGAGGGTTTTTCCGTTTGAGTGATTTGGGGTGCTGTGTGGTGCAAATCGGTGGCTAGAAAGCAGCATAAAGCAGCCCATCGCCGCTTTTTCTGCAGATGAGTGTGGTCCTGACCGGAATGGCCCAGGCGGCCGAGGACGGTGCCACGCCAGGATCCGAGAGTGGCGGTCGAGCAACCAGTGTGTTCACATCGGCGCGCGGTGTGGGGGAATCCGAGACTCTCAGCCTCAGCTCTATCCCTCCGAAATGTCAGCCAAAGAGGCTGGTGTCAGTTCGGGGTGTCAACCACTTATTGCATCTTATTGCCTTGGCATTTCAGACCTGCCTTGTGGTGACATCCCTTTGACGACCCACCGGACCCTTTAGGCCTCCGCTCCGCTCCGCTCCCGCAAAATTCGAAGCATCGGGTCGGGTCAGATGTTCCGATGTTGGCCAAAACCTGTGACTGTTCTGATTCATCATGGTAAACATCGGTTCAAAAGATGCGTCAGTGCGGCGCTTTTCTCAACACCTCCCGACTTCCGTATGCACGAGGTCAAGCCTTGTCGGAGTGTCGAGCCTGCCGAGGAAGATGCGGCAGGAGATGTGGTGCTCTGAGACAGCGGAGAGGCCGCAGTGAGGCCTGGAGGGAGAGCATATGGCAGATCACTTGTTCGTGATCCCAGCGTAGCCAAATAGTGAAGGGTCATTGTGGATGACCAGACCTGGGCCAGATGACATCCAACTGCTGATGCTGTTTCCATTTCGTGTAGAACTGGCCGGTTAGCTGCCAACAACAAGACAAAGAAATAGTTGACAAAATGCAAGTTTACATGACATGTGGATGGCCAATCTCGAAGACCACCGGATGTGAAGACTCATCAAGTCCACTCCAAAAACCAACCGCATGTTGCGTTATTAGCCGTAGATTTCACTTCACTCAAACAAGTGCTTTTCAAGAGCCAGGGTCCACACAGCGAGTCGTGGTCAGCGCAGCCATGTCAGTGCGCTGGGGTGCCTGGGGTGCCTTGTTTGCCTGTGTGTCGTCGGTGTCCTCTATGGACAACCAGGACTGCCGTGTCTTAGTTAACTTCATTCAGGCACTTCTGTTGAATTGCCAGGCAGGTTATATTGCACTTGTTGGTGATGGGCGGCACCCCAATTTCAAAAGGGAAGGACAGACTGTTTTGTAGCCAACCTTTTTCGTAGCTTTGCCCTCCCACTGGCATTCACGGAGAGAGTTTGCGTTCCGTCAGTTGCAGGATATCATTTTCGACATTCTTCAAACACTTGGCATGTCAATCAGGCAGGCCCAGAAGTTGGCAGGCGACCCATGCGGCAGTGCGTCCAGTTTGAGATGCGATGTCAACGGCGCAGTCACTGCAATAAGCCTTGGCCAGAGGGGGCTGACTGGTGAAATCCCCAAGGAGCTCAGCCAGCTCCAGTCACTCCAGGAGCTACACCTTGCACAAAACCA